GGTGGTCTTCAGGGCAGCAGACTGTACCACCAGACATGATGGGTGGTCTTCAGGGCAGCAGACTGTACCACCAGACATGATAGGTGGTCTTCAGGGCAGCAGACTGTACCCCTAGACATGATGGGTGCTCTTCAGGGCAGCAGACTGTACCCCTAGACATGATGGGTGCTCTTCAGGGCAGCAGACTGTACCACCAGACATGATAGGTGGTCTTCAGGGCAGCAGACTGTACCACCAGACATGATAGGTGGTCTTCAGGGCAGCAGACTGCACCACCGGACATGATGGGTGGTCTTCAGGGCAGCAGACTGCACCACCAGACATGATGGGTGGTCTTCAGGGCAGCAGACTGCACCACCAGACATGATGGGTGGTCTTCAGGGCAGCAGACTGCACCACCAGACATGATGGGTGGTCTTCAGGGCAGCAGACTGCACCACCGGACATGATGGGTGGTCTTCAGGGCAGCAGACTGCACCACCGGACATGATGGGGTGGTCTTCAGGGCAGCAGACTGCACCACCGACATGATGGGTGGTCTTCAGGGCAGCAGACTGCACCACCGGACATGATGGGTGGTCTTCAGGGCAGCAGACTGTACCCCTAGACATGATGGGTGCTCTTCAGGGCAGCAGACTGTACCACCAGACATGATAGGTGGTCTTGGTGGAAGAACGTGGTGCAAATTAAACAGTAAATTATACATCTTTCTAAATGTCGGGTCAAATTCTCATTCTATCACTTCTCTCCTTTGCGAAAACAGACCGACTACTACCTACCCCTTGTTGGTTCCGGGAATTAACGTGCATGCGGCCCGGTCACTGACCAGGGCTCCTGGTTGGTGGTCTGAACAACCAAGCTGTTGGACGCACTTGCTGTCAGCCTGATGTATGAATTACAGTCTGTTTGACAATGTATCCTTTGGAGGTGTTTATCAAGTTCTCTTAAACACTATGATGTCCGCCATGTCTCCTATTATAATAAAAATAATGTTTATTCAGGTAAAAGTACACATACAAAATGAGTTACAAACATAATGTTGGATTTCTAGACAGAGCTAGTACATACTGTGCCTACAGCCACTAATACGCACAGCGTTTCGGGCAAACGCTGTGTGTATTATGTATAATATTTGTACTATGTATAATGTGTATTATGTATATTGTGTATATTATACACACAAACTTGTGTTGAGATTGATAAGAGTTCTCTCTCAAAGTACCTATTGCGTCTCAGCTTTTTCAACTGGCGATTTTGCACCTCCTGCCATGCCTTTTAGTCTTGTGTAAAGTTATTTCCGTGCGATTATTTTGATTTTGAATCAGATTTTGAATCAGATTTTGAATCAGTCCCTCTAATATTCTCCAAGTTTGTTATTATGTACCTCACTCGCCTGCGCTCTAGATAACAGATTTAAAGCTTAAGCGGTCCCAATAATTCAGATGTTTTATAGAGTGGATTCGGTTAGTAAAAGACCTCTGCACGTTCTCCAGGTCAGCAATTTCTGGTATGGCATGGCGTGTTTAAAGGTTCTTGTTATGTAACGTGTCATTTTTCTTGCAGTTGTGACAGCAACATTACTTCGTATAATTCTAACTACTGAGATCAACGACATGGGCCTGTTACACACAGAGATAACACTAACGTGATGCATCAAATGAACAAATCCACAAGGGCCGTGACGAGGATTGGAACCTGCGTCTGGGAGCATCCCAGACACTGCCTTAATCGACTGAGCTACGACAGGGTTGAAACCGAAGTTCTACTGAACTTACTGGATCCCGTAGCCTCTCCGAGGAACAAACCAGGCTTTTACACAACCCATGGATTTGTTCATGGGGCCTGTTAATGAGGGTATTGCCACTATAATAACCCACTACTCTATATGCAGTGAAAAATATCTAACTCTGTCCATGAGAAGAAAGGAACTGTCCAAATGCTGGGTAGCACTGTAAATGCAGCTCCGTCAACGAGGGTCTCTTCTGACGTAAAAGTTGGAACACAACAAAAAAATCCTTACCCAACGTTGCTCATTTTCCAGGACCTAAACACAAATTCTAGAAATATACCGATGCTTGCAAAAACAAATTATTTTATGCAACAATATACAACAATTTTGTTTAATTCTGCAACTAAAAATGTGAGCCACAAATACACATCGGAAAGTCCATAGCCAATACTTGCAGGCTCTCAACTATGGCCACGAAATCAAAACTTTCAACTTTGTTCTCACTTACATTAAAAATATCACCGCGGTAAAGCTGACTCAAAGTTTCCTTTTGGGTTTTACTCTTTTTCAAAAGACTAATTTTTTCTTAACAAGAGCTCGAACGCGCGATCATTCTCCCCACACAAGGGTGTTTTAGTATTATCAGAGATATTAAGTTTTATTATTATTATTAACATCTTTATTGACAAAATTAATTACAATTTTGACTAATCTGAGGATTTTGATAAAGTATTATTAAAGTGAGGATAATGCTGGTATTCACTGTCACGCAGGACAGAGGGTCATACCTAAGACAATAGGTCTAAACTGTAGGCTGAAGCACATATATATCATGGCTACAATCAATGTTTTAATGTATGGATATGTTTTATCAAGGTTAAATTTTATTTTGCCTTCAGCCAAGGGCTGCGCCTCCTTGCTGGACAGACTCCTTAAGGTAAGTTACTGACACAGTCTCAAACTGGGCAACGAAAACGATAGCATGGTAAAACCACAAATACAATATACAGTAATACAGTAGGTTAGTTTTCACACCCCACCCCGGAAAAATTATGTTTTCGGCCAGAAGACACCACAACATAATGCGTTCGCTTTTTAACGAATGCATAAAACATTTCAGACCGGACGCAATAAAATGTCTGAAATTTGGCTCGCGACATCATGCAGCGACTCTGACAACGAACCTTGAATTTATTACGCGGCGAGTCGCGATAGTCGTGAGGGTATAAAACAATACGTCCATTGCAAGACCAGTTATAAACGACACTAATTAACATTAACCGGAATGACAAAACATACCGTTCAGTAACCCTTATTTTCTGTGTATTAAGAGGGTTATAAAGGTCTTGTATACTCCTATAATAGATTTAAGCAAGACCATTTAGGCTATTTAATTAGATTAAGGATGTATAAATATGATAGATTCTTACAATAGCTTTACTAGAGCATAGCCTAAGTAGTCTCAAATGATGATAAACATATGGTTCTTGTGTTCTGTAAACGAACTCTTTTTAATATTTAGTCCGAGGAATGTTAGGCTATGAAATGTTTCAACAGGTATGTTTATATTATATCAGATGGGGACATGGGTAATTGGTGTCCGGCAATTAATTGGTTGTGAAGATGATAAGTAAAAGTTCTCATCTATTCCCAAGCTGGACAAAAATGGGAAGTCACCGAATTGTGCCCAATGGCTATGACAATCTTATTTCAGAGACCACAGCGAAACCAGTAGGCGGTTTTAATACGGAGGAAACCGAGACGCTAGGCTTGTTGCGGCGATACTGGCAATGATCAACAGCCACAGACTGATCACAGTGTCCACAGTGATCACAACAGTACAACGTAATGCTCTGGTTGCAGCTAAAATGATTGAGGCATCAACACATTATTTTACCTAAATTAATTGGCAAATTATTCATTGCTAAATTCACTGTTAAGCAGAGTAAAGGTGGAAGAACGATTCACATTTTGATTGGGGAAATTTATTAGCGTGAAAATACAAGTAGAGTTGGCTTTTTAAA